AAGCCGGGGCTGGATATTGATCATGCCAAAGGAAGCAATGAAAGAAAGGGTTACATTGTGAATTTTGCTCCATTATTTTCTCAAGTAGACCCAGCAACTCAGATTAAGAGAACAATGGCTCAGTTGCTAGTATTAATTCCAACCCATTTGATAAACTCCTAAGAAACAGGAAATAACAAAATTGCTGAAAAGACAAAAGACCTCCTTAGGCTTTCAGACACTTATTTTTTTTAAATCAAAAGTGATCTTCTGAAGCATGTCATATTTCTTATGTATTATTTTTAATAATACATGCTACCTCAGTGTTTCTTTTGTTTTAAAAATAAACTGTATGTGGAAGTTGCACCATTAATTGCCTGTACTCATCATTGTTTAAAGAACAAAACTCTTTTTTTTTTTCAGTATTGAGGCATGAAACTAGGGCCTTCACCTTGAGCCACTCTACCAGCCCTATTTTTGTGAAGAGTTTTTTGAGATAGGGTCTCGTGAACTATTTCCCTGGGCTGGCTTTGAACCATGATCCTCCTGATCTCTGCCTCCTGAGTAGCTAGGATTATAGGTGTGAGCCACTGGCACCCAGCAAAATATGGAGTGGTTTTTCTTGGGCAGTACTGGGTTTCGAACTCAGGGCCTCACACTCTCTAGGCAGGAGCTCTACCACTTGAGCCATTCTGCCAGCCCCAGAACAAAACATTTTGATTACACAGACACTGGGAAGTTTGCAGGTGCCCAGTCAGTGTTACTGATCTTATAGTATGGTCTTCAGTTATTGTGTGGTAGCTCCAGGATGGAGGCAAAATGTAAGAAGTAAAGGTTAAACCCAAACACTTGGCTTTAACCTTCCTTATTTTTTCCCTCTCCCCTTTCCTTCTGTCTTCAAGCACTTACTGGGGATCTGCTAGTCACATACAGACAGTTCATCTTCTCCAGGTGCAGACAGTCAGTGGAGGTGGACATAGAGGCAGTGGGCAGTCAGTCACAGAGTCATGGGGTAGATGTGAGCTGTCGTGTTACAGGCACATGGCTCTGTGGCCCTTGAAGAGGGTAAACTTCTGTTGTTTTTTCTACTTCACAAAGCTCAAAAATGGCCAGTGTTGCCATCTATTGTAAGTTAGAAAAATACCTGGAAATGTACATACTCATAGGCAATAGCTTATTTGATTCAATACAGGAATACATTGGGAATTGGATGTACTGATTTTTAAAAAGAAACTGGCGTTATTCTTTAATTTGAAATCTAGAATGTTCACTTCTTTTTTGAAATCTCCCGTAGGGGTGTGTGTGTGCGTGCGTGTGTGTGTGTGTCTGTGTGTGTGTGTGTGTGTGCGTGTGTGTGTGTCTGTGTGTGTGTGTGTGTCTCTGTGTGTGTGTCTGTGTGTGTGTGTGTCTCTGTGTGTGTGTCTGTGTGTGTGTGTGTCTGTGTGTGTGTGTGTCTGTCTGTGTGTGTGTGTGTGTCTCTGTGTGTGTGTCTGTGTGTGTGTGTGTCTGTGTGTGTGTGTGTGCGTGCGTGTGTGTGTGTCTGTGTGTGTGTGTGTCTGTGTGTGTGTGTGTGTGTCTGTGTGTGTGCGTGTGTGTGTGTGTGTGTGTGTGTGTGTGTGCGTGTGTGTGTGTCGGGGGGGGAAGGTTGAGACAGGGTCTCATTCTATAGCCGAGACTCACCATCCTCCTGCCTCAGCCCTGTAATCCCCATCTGGATCCCTGAATTCTTTCTAAAAGTGTTTGCTAATTAGTGCTTCCACCTGCCTTTTTTCAAACTAATTTCTGCCCCTACTACACCGTAGTGCAGTTATGTATGCACATTTTTATCTTTTCCACAAGATTGTCTAGACTTTGAGGGCAGAGACCTTGTTTATCATCTTTATGTTACCAGTGACACCACATCTAACAGGTCTTCCATATACATTTTTAAAATAGATTTGAGAAGGAACTTCCCAGTGATGTTTCTTCTGCAAGTCTTCTTTGTGTGTTTAATTATAGCATTTACTAGGCAAGAGGGATGGTTTTCTTTGATCTATTAAAGAAAGTATCAAGGCATGAAATCATAAAAAATTCTGGGTGTTGTGTGCAAATAGGATGGACTCTGAATATGGCCCATCCTACCCTCTGTCTTTACTCTCTATGGTCCAGAGTAAAGGAAGAGGAAATTAGTGATATAATCATACGTAGAATGTAGATTTTTTAATTATCATGTTATTGTTGTATTGGGGTCCATTGTGACATTTACAAAAGTTGTTACAATATATCGTAGTTGAATTCACTCCCTCCATCATTCTCCCTTATCTGCCCTCTCCCCATTCCTGGAATAGTTTCAAGTGGTCTCATTTTTCCATTTTTGTATCTGAGTACACAATATTTCCCCATAACCACCCTCCTACACCCTTTAGAATGCAGATTTTGAAAGACAGAAGTTTGCTAGCTGCCTAGTTTGCCTTGTGTAGAAAAAGGTAAATATCTTTACCTCTGTCCTTACCACCAAAGTTTTCAATTTCATCTTCTCTGGACCTCAGTTTCCTTCTTTATAAAATAGGAGATTATGCCAAATGACCTTTATTGCCCCTTCTGGCTCTGGGATTCTACTTGGAAAGTGATGGTTGTTTTAGCTCTTTATTTGGGGGTGGGTTTTGTTTTAAACAACTATATAAAAATACTGAATCTTGTGGAGATGCCCTCTGCACACTGCTAAAACTTTTTGTGCAGCTTTGTTCTTCTCATGTCTTCATTGAGGACAACATTAAAGCAAAGCAGAGCAAAGGCAAAACATTCAAGGAGTTAGGATTTAAGTCCCTCCCCACAGACCTGAGGTGATAGGCAGAGGAAGGAGAGTTGCCTTCAGAATGCTGAACAAGTGTAGTAGCTTCATGCTAAGCTATGTTACCAAATCTAAAGTTTCCTTAACTAGAAGAGAGGGCTTGGGTTGCCCGTGAGGCATGTAGTCCTGGAAGCAATGAAGGACCACGTTCAGGCAGGCAGAGAGGACAAAGTTACACCTGCTGAATGTCATCAGAGTTGGCAGGGAGTGGGACTAACATGAGTGGAAAGGAAGAGAAGGGCTGGCGCAGGGCTCTCCCAGTGAAGAGGAAGACTGGGGTGGAGGCAAGCAGTTCCATTGTTCAGCTTTTACAAAGTTGGAAGTGATGCTTCCAGCTGGAGGAATGTGGCAGCTTGGCAAGTCTTGAGCTCCCTTCAGTAGTTCTCATAACCCATAAAAGATTTATCTCAGCTGCCCAGTGTGGTTTGCAAAATGTTTATTAATGAGCTTTAGGAGAGACTTCTTATCTTTGTTGAAAACCAGGTGTATATTTGAGATGACTGAAATGAAGGCTAGTCAGTTCTCTTATTTAACAGCATCCCTTGATACTCACTCTTGAAGGAAGGCATATATCCACATACTTTAAAAAATTATTCTTGAGAGGGAATGTTCTTGCACCGTCCACTCCTTATTCTTATATAATTGTTTTTTTCTTAATGTTCTTTTCATTCCTTTCTACTTCTCGAGTTTAAAATTCTAGGGTTGTTTCCGTGTCATGCCATTGGCTCGACAGTGCTGCTGACGATTTATGTCAGGGTGGAGCCATCTGGCATGCTTGGCACTGTTTTGCATTCTTTTGCAGAGTGTGCTGTTGTTTAGTCTTGAGGGAGTAGGAGTCTCTCGTTTTCCATATGCTCAGGACGGCTAAGGACTGTCTGCCTTGCACAGAATGCAGATGTTTGCATTCTCACACAGTTTATCCAAAACTTCTCCATCCCCTTCACAAACTGTAGGTGTCTGATCTGTAGTGGAGGAGGGAGGCATTTTTCTCATGGAAATTCTAAGGAAAATCTCATGGGTTATGGCGAACAAACTGCCTTCTTTCCAGTTTACCTCACTTGTTTTTAAAATCCTGCAGGCTGCTTTTGTATCATATGTAGCACGTTATAGAAGGCAAATTAGTTATTATCCTTTAAAGTTATAAAATCCTTCCCTACCAATATACCTTTGAAACTAGGAAATCTTATGTAAAAGCTGGGTGTTAGGGATCTTTACGATTTTGTGTTGTAGCTCCACTTTATAATTTTCAATTAGCCTGTGTCTCTTCACTATAGAAAACAGAAAACTTTCATCCACCCTGTGATTTAAATACTATGTCTGTGCACAGACAGACTCTTTCTCACACACTTAATGCCAATGTATTTGTGCTTTTCTAGGGGAAGGCAGCAAGTGTTCACTTTCTTCTTTTCTTTTTTAAAATTTGCCATTAAACTCTTTATTTTGAGCTAATTCAGACTTATAGAAAAGTTTAAGACAGGGCCAGGCATGATGGCACACATCTGTGAATCCCAGTTACTCAGGAAGCAGAGATCAGGAGTATCATGGTTCAAGACCAGCCTGGGCAAAAACTTAGTGAGACCCTATTTCAACCATCAAGCCAGGTGTGGTAATCTCAGCTACTCAGGAGGCATAGGTAAGAGGTCTGAGTCTGGGCCAGAACAAAAAGTCGAGCCCTTATCCAAAAAATAACTAAAGCAAAAAAGGGATGGGTGGTGGCCCAAGTGGTAGAAGCACCTGCCTAGTAAGTGATAGGCCCTGAGTTCAAACCCCAGTACTCCTTGCTCTGCCCCTCCCCCCAAAAAAAGAGAAAAGTTGCAGAAAAAATTATATTTTATCATCAAGAAAAATGGATTTAGAGGGAGAATGAATACGTGATTCATTCAGATCTTAAGTACAAAGTAGATGCTCAGTAAATACATCCTGACTAGTGAAAGTGAGAAGGAGCCAGAACTGGGATCTTGTGACTCTTTGTCTTGTGACATTTTTACCTTTGCCTTGCATTTCCCATGGTTAAAAATTCACTCATAGGCATTCATAATCTACAGTCAGTTCTGATCTATTCTTTGGTAGCTATAAAGTGATAAAAGCCATTAATCAATAATGACATGATACATGGTGACACATTTGTAAAGTCAGTCCAGTCTTCAGTGAATTTTATTAGTACTTACAGTTCCATGTCATTTTGTCTTCACAGAAATCGGTCCAGTGACAATTACCACAGATCCCAAGAAATTTCAATATGAACTCAGAGAACTTTATGTTCAGGTGAGTGCTTGCTTCCACTTTCCGTTTTGGGGAAAACCATAAGTCTTTGACTGACTTCCCTTGTTTTTAAAATGTGAGAGGAGTCATTGTTGGGATCCAATATATGGCACCTTTTTTAATCCACCTGAGTCCAAAGTGAATTAAACAACAGATGTGGAATAAGATAGATTGCATTCAAAATGTCACCTTCGTGGGTGTAGTGTCTATGGTTGCTTTTATCCTGTAACAGGAGAGTTGCGTCAAGACCATTTGACCTCTTTTTACAGAATGTTTGCTGAGCCCTATTCTAAATGAGTCCCTTCCCTTACAAACACAAGAAACAGTTAACTCATTCTTCCCCGACAAACATAAGTGGCTCGCTGGGTAATTTTGATACTCTGTGCTGTAAATTGACCATATGAAAATTTTGAATGCTAGCTTAAGTCAGCTATTAAAGAATATAAGTAGTATTTATTTAAATGCCATTCTGAAAACAGAAGTTGGAAGTAGAGTTGGGGTGCCCCTTCTTCTTGCTGCTGCTTTGAGGTTGTCCTCAAATTTGCTCAGAGCTTCCTCTGAGTCTGTTTTTATTATGCTCCATCTATGGCCTGGGCTGCTGTTGTCTATAGACATTTTAGACTCTTTCCATTCACGAGTGATGGGCTATTGGTACCTGGATCATGGGTACCTTTTCCCTTCAGGCTTACTGTTTTTTCAGGTGACTGATATTTGGTGTAATAACCTAGTTAGAATGGTTCCTTATTGATTTCTGGACCTATATTCCTCCCAGTGGCTTTTTCTTCACTCTTTCTTAGTCTTCTCACAACATGACAGACGATTCCATTGGGAATTCATAACCTTTTATTTCAAATGGATTTTCAATACTCCCACAATCCTGCTGTTTCTTTGTCAGTTAGATCTCCCATTCCTCTGAATGACAATTGCAAATCTTACATACTCTCCTAAACCCTCTTACTAGAGGCTATTTCAGCTAGTGTGCCTTGTGTTCACACACAGGCATATACAAGTGAGGTACAAATGAAGCCCTTTTTTCTTCATACCTAATGACTGTGGCCAGCAGTCTTTCTAGCCTCCTTCTCTACTCAGTTCCTTGGCTTTCTCGGGATCTTCATACTACCAAATGGTTTCTCTCAACTTCTTGAGTTGCCATTGACTTTTAAATACGTTTGTCTCTTTAAAAAAATCAAGTTCTCTCATAAAAAGCAAAAGAAAACTACATACTTCTGTATTTTTCTCAAATCCTCTTACAAATATCAACTATCCTCAACACAAGTTGTCTGCATTCACTGCCTTTATTTCCTCACCCCATCTCTTCCCATTCACCCCTCAATCGGTTTCAATCTATTTCTTACTCTCCTCATTATATTAAGATAGTTTTCAATGCTGATCAATGATCTCCATTCTGCTAAATGCAATGGAAACATTTCAATCCTCATCATATTTGATAGACGACATTGAGGTCTTTAACAATGTTGGCCTTTTCCTCCTTCTTGACACATTCTTTTTCTTCATCTACTCTTCCCATGTTTCCTGCTCAGCTTCTTAGGGATTCTCATTTCCTTTGAAGAGGCCATTAAACACTGGAGTTTCTCAGTGTTTTGGAACTTGCCCCCCTTTCCCCTCATTTTACATCCTCCTCTTAGGTAAAATCATGCATACTTATATAAGTGTGTGTAAGTGTGTGTCTAGCCTTGGCATCTCTTCTGAGGTCTCTTCTGAGGAGCAGGCTCTCATTTTAATCTCTGAGATGTCAAGATGGCCCTCTAAAATAAAACCCTTAAGTGTTTTTTGTATGGTCCCCCAAACTGGGTCCTTGATCCTTCGATTTTCTCCCTTGTTTCCATTGTGAATGAGGTTTATCGTATTCTGGTTATCCAGTCAAATACCTGATTCTTCTTTAATGCACCCTCACTTACCTCTCATATCCAAATATTCACTAAATCTTGTTTTTACTGTCTAGATATCTTAAATCAACTGACTTCTCTCATTTCTCTTGGCACCACCCTAATCCCAGTGACTATATTGTTAATCTAAACTAATGAAGAATAATATCTCAGTGATTTTCTTGCATTGATCTTTGCTCTTCTTTTCAAGGTCTTTTCTCTAATCTGTAGACAAGATGCTGTCACATACATCTCTGAACAATTCTGCTGAATGTCATTATCACTTGACTTCTGATATGTGCCTAATCAAATTCTTCCCCTGGCTCTGAGTGACCTGAGAACTACTTACATCTCAGCCCATCTAGCGCCACTCTCTTTTGCAGGACCTGTGGTCTGCCCCTCAGGGGATTTGTACAAGCCTCTTCCCATCTTCTCACAGGGTGTTTGCATATGCTGTTATCGCTGCAAAGGAAGTTCCTGTCCTCACCCCTCACTTCTGTACTCCCTTAGCTGAGTTTAAAGTCTCATACTCCTACTCTCAGTGTGAATGCCACTTTCTCAGAAAATCCTTCCTTGTCCTCCAGCTTGGTCATATCTCACTACCTCTCTGTGACAGAGCAGTTGGGGTTTTACATAGTTTGACTTAGTTATCATTAAATCCTATAGTGAAATGCCTGCCACATAGAATATGCTTACTTTTGAATGGATAAATGAATGAATGAATAAATAGATTGAATAAATATGCCAGAATGTTCAATGCAGATCAACAGTGTTCTAATCAAGGTAATACTTTGGTTGTACTGTTAGATGACTGACTTCATTAGGAACTGTACACAGGATGAGCGTAATTGGGGCATGGGCTCAGCAACCCTAAAGTCCATATTCCAAATGTGCATTCAAGGTCAGTTCTATTTTGTGAGTGTCTCTATTTGTAAATTATACACCAAAGTAGGTTAAATTTAGTAATATGTAAATAGATTTGCAGAATTTTTTTCCTCTTTGCCTGAATTTCTTCTGATTTTTTTTCACTAATAACCCTGCATTTCCTTTCTTTTTTTAGTCATTATCTTGCTGCTTATTTACTGTTCACTCTTCTCTCCCTCATTACAGCAAATTCTTGCCACTTTGGATGTCCTCATTTTCTGGAAAGATCTTCATAGAGATTATGGAAATGAGATAATGGAAATGGGTTATGAAAATTATGTCTCAGTTGTTCAAATCTTTCTGTTGTCCTATTCTCCTGTCAGTTCCTGAAGACGAGAGCCTTGTAGCTCTCATGTAGCTTGTGCTCCATCTGGGGATGAACCACTTGGTGTCTGTGTTAAAGTGTGCTTTAACTAGTTATTATTATTTTTTTTAACCATGAGATAAAAATGACTGAATTTCATTGGCTGTTCAAACGTACACGTTCACATTTTAGTACCTGTATAATTGGAATACTTCCTACATTCAATACCATCTTGCAATCATAATTGACATTTTTATCTTTTTTTTTTAATTATTGTTGTACTGGGGGTACATTGTGACATTTACCAAAGTTTTTACAATATTTCATAGTTGAATTCTCTCCCTCCATCATTCTTCCTTATCTCCTTTTCCCCTAGTCCCAGAATAGTTTCAACAGGTGTCATTTTTCCATTTTCATACATGAATATATAATATTTCACCCTCCTACACTCCTATGAGTATATAACATTCACCCTCCTATATCCTTTATTTAACTAGCTGTTGGATAAATTAATGCCACTTAAGGTGACTTCTTTTAAAAAATGTACTGTAACAATAAAACTATGTCAATACAGTTTAAACTTTACTTGATGGAACAAAGATATCTTTAAAACCCAATCATTGGTTTTCATTATATTACAGATTCAGAAAAGCAAAGAAATGGAGATTTCTAGCTGGTAGAATGGTAACAAGGGATTTATTGAATTCAGTCTTTGTTTTCTCTCTGTGAGAATACAGATGGACTATATTCTTGCAAATCTGAACAGACTGAAAATAGCTACATTCTGAATAAGACCTGGCACTGCACTTCCTGATTTCCTGCCTCTCCCTGTCTTGTTCTGAAGGCTCTTCAAGGAGTGCCCTTCTCCTCCTTGTTCCATTTGTCCCCAGGGTGAAGGATGCTGATTTGACTCTTACTCCACTAACTGTGTCTTCTCAGACTCCTCCATACCACCCGCCATTGTTCAATTGATAAAGACAATTTATAAGAACATATAATTTTTCCTTTATTCATGAAAATAATCTTTCTTCCCTGGATTTGAAGCCAATGTCTCTTTCTCTGGAGATTTCCTCTGGATAGACTGCACTTTATTACTATTTTTGTTGTTATTTTGTTTTGTTTTTGCATTGTCACAAGACCCAACAGGGGATTAACTAGTCCCTCCAATGGGAGAGAAATCAAATATTTATTTTTTTCCCTTTGTTCAACATTGCATGGTGTTAGGAACAGTGGGATACCATTGAAGTGTTCTTACTTTCAAAGTTTTTAGTGAATTATTCTTTCTTAAATTAATAGCAAAAAATTTCATTAAATAAGTGTCGAATGTAAAAAAAGCCCTCTAGGCCACACCTACACTTTAGCACCTATTATAAAGGATAGATGCTATTTTCATTGTTTATTAGAGAATCCTTAATTATTTCATAAATGAACATGGAAAATAATACATATTCCACAAAATTTTAGTATGAGATGATGAATTTTCTCTTGTATATAATTTCCTGACCCTTCTTCAGTTCCTCTTCTACCATTTTTAGTGACTCCCCTAAATCAATGATAGCTACAGTAGCAAGGATTGCTGTGCTATTAAAACTTACTTGGATTTTTATAAAAGAAAACATCTAAAAATATTTTTTTCATGTTTATATTAGTTTTGAAAACCAGTAAAATGAAGTCAGTTTGAAGTACATTAAATACTTGCCCATTAACATATCTGATTCAACCATTTTTCTCATAGAGATTGGAGCTGAGAAAAAGTAATCTGAAAATTTCCAAGGCAAACTTTCGAACCCCCATCCTTAAATCATTAAATGTACTGCATCAATTTCATTTTCTTTTGTCCTTTTTTATTTGGAATACAGAGAAGTAACTTGAAAGGCAAATGAATTTTC